TTTTTTTCATTGTTATACTCAAAAAAAAAAAAAACTAAAAGTAAAAATATTGCAACAGAAAATTATTTTGGTAAAGGTGACAGTCACAGACAAGAAAAATATTCAACTAAAGGTTTTTTACAGTAAATGGTGAAATTAAAATATTAAGTATTTTTATAAATAAAAAGAAGCAAGGCAAACTGTCCCTTTACTTCACTTGGGGTAAAAAAAAAAACAGTTGAGAAACCTGCTTTAGCCATAAGAAAACATGGTATTCAAATGGTGTTGTCTAAAAGGACTTAGAATAACATAAAAGTCACTGCTACGATGGAGGTGCATCCACAGCTTTGATATATGACTCACTGCTCAACAATCAAGAGGAATAAAACAAATTAATATTTCTGTTTTTTAAAGAGACATGCTTAAAAAAAAACCTTAACCAACAATGTGGTGCATTATCACAATCAATCAGAAAAATCATCACTAATGGGAAAGATGCTTGGTGAATACCTTATTTACAGACAATATAATAGTTTTTGGTCTTTTTTCTAATATAGGCATATACCATGACTTTGCACCTTTGATGATAGATAATAACAACAGCTTTGTATTTTTTGCAGTTTATATGGGCAGCTGGTTAAAAGCCCAAAGAGAAGACGGTGTGAAATTGTCCCCACAAAGGTGAACACACACATTACACTGACATAAACAATGCCGGCCTGAAAAGTGTGAATGGCAGCTGTTCTCTGGGCAGGGAGGAAGGCAGTCATGGGGAGTGTGACAGAACACTTATTTTCACCCCCACAGGATGTTGTGGGAAACACGGAAATAAGCTAATAAAAAAACACACTATTAGTGCTGCAAAATCTCACCTTACTGCCAAAGAACACAGATATGTACACACTGAGTAAGTTTCCATCCAAAAGCAGATAATAGAGGGAAAAAAATATTGCTGTCAAAAGCACACAGGAAAGAAAAAGTGGCAAAGAAAACCATGAGCCCTGCCAGGGGTTTTACTGCTGAACATGACTGTTTGAGCGGGATTTTATTCGTTTATGTAACAATGATTAGAATGCATGTGCTTTCACTTTTTTCTGTAAAGACAGACAGATGTGTTGCATTCATAGTATTTCCAGATGATGGGGTCAAAACGCAGAAGGCCAAGAAGTGTTAGGGTGGATGGGAATAGGCAGGGGGATGACCACAGGGATTAGAGAGCGGGCCGTGTGAACAGATGGTCCTTGGTTGCCACCCAAGATCCCATTAAGAAAGATGGCAGGACTGACCTATTTCAGGACCCACCATGCAGTGTAAATCCGCTGTCCAGAGAGATATGGAGACTATCTGCATTCAGGGATTACAATCCTTGCTATTTTTCTTGGACATTATAGGATTTCATGCATAGTTACTAAAGCAGATCCAAACAGGAAAATCAACTTGCAGATACTAGGACAGTCGTACCAGTTCAACCACCTCACTTTTCCTCCTGTCAAAGAATTCGGTTCTGTCCTCAGATGTTGCTCAATGAGATTTTTCCATAAAGCTACTGGGATGTGATGTGTCATTATCCACCATCTTCCCAAAGCATGCAGAGAGGGACAAGTCTTTGCTAGTTAATAAATAGTGATTGGACCAAATATGATATTTTACTTTACAACTTTATAACAATTCACGTTTCAGATGGAGAGCTTTTACTTGAACTGTCATTATTGTTAAGATTATGTTTTTGTTTGGCCATGATTGATGTATAATTATTCCAGCTTCCTCCTGCCATATGACGATGTGCCCATGAACAATGCACTTGCAAAAAATAAGCTTTCAATCTATTTGTTATGTTTGAAGCTGAATGGGTTATATGATATTCTAAAGGTAATAAAATGAAACTTAACATATACGTACATATACGTACATTAGATTAAATTTTGAAATATTGCCAGGAGGGAGCTCCGAGGAGCACACACAAAGGGGTGCAGAAGCAGAGGCAGTTTGGTGAGTTAAGATAATTTTTATCATCAGACGCTTGTTTTGGGGTTTCTTGAAGTCCTGCTTATGAGAGAGGGGAGAAGGAAATGGAAGATTGATAGACGGAACAATGCAAAGGCAGCAGTGTTAAAGATTCTCAGTCATCCAGGTCAAGCTTGAAAAGTTCAGTTTGACTTTTCAAGCTTGACCTGGATGACTGAGAATCTTCACAGATAGCCCATAAAAGCAGTTTAGTCTCGATCTATTTTTTTCATGACATAACCAGTTTCTTGTTACTGTATGTCTGAAAGTTTTGTCTTGTTTGAAACACCGAGTTTATGACTTATTATTAAGCATGTCAAATTGTAAAACTCAGATGAAAGGCTAGTGGTTAGGGTGTGTAGGAATTATCTAGGCACAAAAAAAAAACTTTGAGAATTTAAAATAAAAAAATTAAACAAAAAAATAATGTAGAGTATGCCAAAGGCAGCATCATGCAGAGAGTGTGTTGTAATGCAATTTGTACTGCAAGATCCAACATTTGTGGTTAAATTTACTGTATGAAATGGGCCAGAAGAGTTTGTTTTGTAACTTTATTTGAAAAATAATAAAATAAACTGTGGATCCAATTGTTTTTATTCAAATTAATGTTAAATAATGATTGAAATGTATCTGGCATTACGTCTCCTGAATTATGAGAAAGAGAAAGATTAAGGAACAGGATAATCTGTTTACTCGGGCTTCAACTAATGATTACTTTAAAAATCGATTAATCTGTAGATAATTTTTTCGATTAATAATCGGATAGCAAAGCTTCCTTAAAGAAGATTTTTTAAACTAAATTAAACCAGGTGAAACTACAATTCTTCCACTTAAGGAGTTCTGGATAGAGCATAATGACAGAATTTTTTTTTTTTTATCTTAAATGCAAAGTGTTTAGATATTTTTTTGATAATTGTGTTATAATTGCTGCTCAACATGGGTTCTCTGTCAGCTAAAGGCAAGTTTTAAAGTCTCTGTACTCCAGTTAACGATTAATCGATTACTAAATTAGTTGATGGTTATTTCAATAATCAATTAATCTTCACTCTCTAAAAGATACATGTTGACTGCAAGGCATAGTGTTGTGACAGGAAAGGAAATCTAAACACAATTTGTGTTTGCAACCCTAGGAGAGCAGGAGAGAGAGAACTACATTACTCCCCACACCCCAGTGGATGTATATCTGTCAGGTTATTAAGACAGCTCGAGGGGATACTTCATCTTTCACTAACAGCAAAGTCATCAAGGTAAACAAATGTTAAGGAATGGGGCGCTCTTACTAATAGAAAGAACCAGTTTTCTATTTTGTTTATGGGTTGTTTTATTCTGAAACCACCTGTGCAGGTCAGTTTAGAAGAGAGACACTATTCTCTTTTTTTCTTTTGGCCTAAGTTACTCTACCCAGGCAGACAGGCTAATGTCAGATTACAGAGCACCACTATACAGCAGTTCCTATGGTTACCAGCCAGGTTCTGCATACATGGATACTCCTTGCAAATTCTGATCTGCAGTGAAGCACTGATGGAAGAGCAAAGGAATAGCCTGACAAAACAAAACAAAAATCACCTAACCACCCACACTGGCACACATCCACACATGTCCATATATACAGAAGTTTTCATGTTCTTACTGCATATATGGAAAAACACTTTCAAACAAGAACCCACAGTTGAACACATTCCTCCCACATGATGAGCCAGTCACTCACCTTCATGGATCAACTTGTGCTTGCGGTATTGTGCTGCATATCATTAGAGTGAGCACGTGAGTAAACATAGCCTGCTGGGTTGAATTATCAGTTCCATCAGAAGTAGCGCAAATCACAGTAGGTGATACATAGGGATATCTCTAGGCATAGAAACCCCATTTAAAGGAGCTAGTTTCTCATTTCTCCTTGACTGGAACAAATACACTAGTTTACTTTTCAATTTGCTCATCAGTTTTTGTTGAGATTTCTCCATTCGTCCGTTTTCTTTGCTGCAGTTCACTTCCTCACACTTGCAGCTGAGGGAAATGAACATACAGGGCAGATTGGGAACACTCAGTCAAAGAGGAAGATGAAAGAGAAAAGACAGCTACGTCCATGCCAGGAGAGTTGTATGAGTGGGAAAATAATGAAAGAGAATCTCATTTAGCAAATTGACAGTTCCCCTCAGGGTTTTTTTATCCTCCTCAGCACAAAAGGACGATGCCCTCCTCAACTCTGAACTATCTTCATCAGGTGTGATGAAGCTGTCACCCTTTAGCAAACATTAACAATGACAAAGTTAGTATTTGAGTTTGGATATATCTCTCTCTCTTTCTAACTCCCAAAACTGTTTCATCCAGTCTACAAATGCACAGTTGATGTCTGAGAAAATCAGAGGAACTGTGACTGAAAGAAAGCTGGCACATAAAAAACTTAAGACCAGATGTCCCTATAGATAAAGTTGACTACACTTGCATAAAATGCAAATTTTATAAACTAATATAGCATTGCTATAATATTTGTTGGAATCTAACTGTTATAAACTTTTTTATAAACTACAAATTCTCACCACCTAAAATGAATACGAGTTTCGCACAGCCATATTGCGGACAGATGCAAATCATAAAATAAACTAAATAGACAGGTAGGAAGGGAGAGCTTCTCCAAAAATCAACATCCAAGGCCAGGTTACAAACTAAACTGGAGTTCAGCCAAATAACCAGGATATCAACAAAGAACACTTTTATTCACACATGCATTAATACACACTTGCAGGGTGACCCATAAGAATTAAAAGAAATATTTGAGCAGCAGCATGCAACACTGCAAAACAGCTCAGATCAACCAAGGATGGAGCATTGTCCAGCCTCAGTGGGCTATTCCATGTTCAATAACATACAGTGGCTAACTAAATGCCACTATTGACGAGAGTTTTATTTTGATCAATAAACATAAGATCCACTTTACATGGAAAATATCCTAAACAATGTGTCTAAAAACGCTAGTGGACCTGCATGGTTGATTTGGAGGCTGAAGAAGAGAAACCTACCAGAACCCTCCCAGTGAGCGTCTGAGCGGAGATCATGACGCCGGCCCAGTCTTTGACCGAAGTCATCCATCCCACCTCGCTAGCTGGTGCTTCCTCCTTCTCATCAGGACCTTTAGTCGTCTTATCTGCTGTCGGATTATTGGCAGGATTATTCACCTTCTGAGCCTCCTGAAAGAAAGAACAAAATGAAGTAAATAAAATGAAAGTGTGATCAAAATGTTTTAAAAATGCTGCAAGGATAATTATTATGACCTATTGACCCCCATCTGCTATATACATTAGCCAATGTTTTTCCAAATGCATGTATGGTTTTAAATAATGACAGAATGTATCTCGCTTTAGTTGAGCTGCACAGATGGTTCTTCATATTAACGGTCCCTAATGTCAGGCAGGCATTTAAACGTTCTGTCTTGCCTCCGAATGAGTGAGCAGAGTTGCATTGCACTTTGTTGACATGCTAAGCTTGGCAGAGTCACTGCATGCAGCTGTTCTCTCCAGCCATTCACTCACTCCTGACTTGACACTAGTGGGCATTCAGTTTCTCTCTGCTCCTGGCCATAAAAAATAATGAGTAGATTTTCTTGTGATCTGAAGCCACTGAAGCACTGAATCCCCCCAATTAGGGACAGATAAAAAAATACCTAGAGGTTTGTACATACAATATGCAACATTCTTAAAAACTAAGGCTAGGACTAAAGGGGGACCTATGAAGAAAATCCCTCAAACTGAAAATACTTTTTACCCTCTAAAGGCAGCCCATTGATCCACTAAAAATAGACAATATATGCAGAGAGTTATACTCTTAGGATGCACATGTCGCTCTTAAACATTTTTTACAAGAGTAACACCAGACAATTAGCCATCAAAGGGAAATTTTTCCTGCAGCAAAGTGTAGAGATTGAAATGACTACAGCTTTTTATTCATCACTTGTGTTAAATCTAAAGAAAAATACTGACTTACACCAAAAAAAAAACTTTGCTTAGATTGAATTTTGAAAATACATTATTACTCTAAAATCTCCAGAGCATTGTAGAAATTGATCCAACAAGGAGAGGGCCATCTAGTTGTCCAATCTGTAAGTTTTTTTTTTATCTGTGCTCCCTTATTGTGAACATGCAGGAAATTTACTAATTTTGCAAAGCTTAAGAATAAAGCAGTTACACATGAGCCCATGAGGGAGTTCTGTCCATATCAAGGAGCTTGCTGTTTCAAATTGGATTACATTTGATAATGACATGGCATGGACACAGCTGCCATTTTTCTAATTTCATTTCAACCCCATAACAATGCTAATAAACTGGGCCTAAAAAAGCCCTACTTAGTCATCAGATCATTATCTGCTCTTGCCATAGGGCCTTACTGTGCCTCAGTGGATAATTTAGTTACTTGTGAAGGGTTTCCTGCATGGCCTTAAAAAATCAAAAAAGTTTTAAAGTAATCATTAAAATTCAAGGCATTAAAAACTTCTTTATATCTCAAAAAACATTTTAATAAATTCTTAATGACTGCTCCTGAAGAGAGCATGTGAATAGGTTCAAAAATCTAATTATGTATTTTTAGATTCTTTGTCAAGTAGATACAGGGCCGAGAATTTGAATTTTTACATATATTACATATTTCCTCCTATGTTAAATGTGTAAGACCATTTAAAAAAAAAACGCTAGAAAGTGAATACACACATCTTTTAAATTATGATTTTCTTCATAAAATTCTCTATCAAAACCAACACGATCTATTTTTAAAATATATTTTGAAAGTGAGTTAGAAAATCACAAGGCTTTCCCAGATCGGAAAAGCCATCTTTTTATATAACTATACTATCAATACTACCAGACCTCTGTGAACATGGAATCATCTGAAAGAGAAAATATCTCAACAGATTACAAGGCAAAACACAATTCAACATTGTCCTTGTTTTTTAGAAAACAAGGACAATTTAGAACAGCTTCTAAAGTCTTCCAGGCATCACTTGCCTCAATTAAGGTCAGTATTTCTGATTCAACAATAGGAAACAAGACAAAAATAGTATCCACAATGAAACAACACAGCCCAGTGTTTTACTGTGTCTGGGATGCTCTATTATTCTCCTAAAAATGCAGTGTTAGTTTTAGGTCTTGCTATGTATAACATGAACAAACACGTTCCAAAACTTAACACTTTTGTCTCATCATTCCTTGGAATATTTGCTCAATCATCTTGGAAATAATCCTTTTCTTATTTTGTCAAACGTTATATTGGAATTTGGTGTTCTACTAGGTAAGCATTGGTTTTAACATCAGAGATCACATTAAGGTGGTCATTAATTTTGTTTACTGTAAATCAGGACAAATCAGTTTGGTTGTAACTATACCCTGAGAATGCGTTTACCCTGTGCCATGCGGTATGTGCCCTTTATGTACTGGTGTGCTGGGATGAACGGGTGCATTATACGGTATGATAGACATTTTCTATGCAAAAGACACCGACAATCTTATTCTACCATTACATGTACACGCCACTAAGACATATAAATCATATGTAGTTTGTGAAATCCAGGTCTAGATCTCTTTGGGACATTTTGTAACATGTGCATGTTGGATAACATGAATAATAGATGAAGTCACAAACTGATGTCTTTGCAGATCAGAGCATATAATGTAAACAACCTATTCCTTCCAGTTCATTTGAGTCATCCACGGTAGGCTAAGCTGGGGGGGGGGAGAAGCATTGAAGCATACTGCTATGGGAGAATCCATCTGCTAGCTATAAATAAACCTCTGTGATGTCAAACTGTGGGGGGAGATGCGGAACAGCCGCAATCACAGGATATTTTTGCAGAAAAAAAAATATGTTCTGTTCTTTCTTTTCTTTTTAAATATTTTTGAAGGTGATATTATTTACTGTGATTCGTTGCTCATTCATGAAGTGGCATGTGTAGGAATACTTTTAGGCTAAAAAGTAAAAAAAAAAAAAAAAGAAGTAACCAAAGTGTATGTCTTAGTGCCATGTGGTGGGTTGTTTTACATGAGTGATAGAGTACGAACCAGTCATCACAGCAAGCTGTAATATGAGCTGCAGGTAGCAGGCTGTGCATGTCCGACTTCCCACCAAAGCAAACAACTTTACCGTACCCCACTGCTGCGTGAAAAAATACTCCTGACATGCTCAGCAGGAGATGGGATGGTGTAAACTTTAAGTGTCAGACTTACTTTAGTTTTTAAAGAGCTGCTCTCAGTGTTTACTACAGCACGTAAAAACATAGAGTTTTTACCACAAGTAATCAACACTGTTGTAACTGAATCATACCAGACTAGAGAACCCTAAGGTGTCAATGAAGTGCTAAATTTCCGGCCCAGATGGTACAAAGCAATTCCTCTTTGACTGACAACAGAACCCCCTAACTCACTGGCACATTTCAGCAGAAACATAATCAAATAAGAAATACCTTTATGATGTATTTCTTTATGAGACCAAAGGAACAAATACCACATGGACAACATCCATATGATCTGATTCGATTTTGCTCTTACACCTCTAAAGCTCCTGCTCTTTTAAATCTACTTTAACTAGTTCATCTGCCTACACCAAGGGAACATTTTTATAACAACACAGATGAGCACTGTTAATATTAGGACTTCACCAATTATACAGATACTCAGGGGAGGGCTGCTAATAATCTACAAGACAGGGACAGAAAAAAAAATCCTTGACACAAGAACAAAGACAAAGAAAGGAAGTGACTGAATGAAATCAACAGGACAAGGACAAGAAGACAAGGAGGATAAATCGTCATAACAATAATGCAAAGACGGCAGATGTAATGCTGAAGAGACAAAAACTCAAACACATTAATAGGCAGATAAACATAGCAAAAATGACAGTGAGAAAAGGGAGGATAGTTACCGAAAGAACAAAAAATAAGGGACAGACAAAAAGATAGAGATGTCGGGTGAGGTTGAAAGAAAAGGAAAGAGAGGAGTTCATGCCCATCTGACCCAGCTGATGTAACAGAACTTGGCATTAACACAGCTGTTCTTCTGGCTTCCCACTATATCACTCAGGAAAACTCTATTCCAGTGTGGGAGGCTATTTATAGGCTCACCCTGTGAGACGTGAAAGTAGTAAGACTCATAACACGCCACTGTTACCTCTGTGTCCCTGGGTTGCAGACAGCAAAAAATTTAGTGGGAGGGTATTTACATATGTATTCACAATATGACATAAGCCTTTATTTATTACTCATAGAGGTCAGGTTTACAGATCCATAGAGTATGATGAGGTAAAATAGTTTAAGCAACATGCTATCATTTCAAAGTCACATATTTCACCTTCTCTGCGATTGCAAACAAAGCAGAGGACAAAGCTAAATAATAAAGGAATGTTCAGGAGAACTTTACTGTGACTCATGTCTGTCCCGACTCCCATTTCTCTGATATAAGGATTACACACACTGTAATCCATCTGATCAGGACAGCATCCACATAAATCTATTACCAAACAAAATTCATGCACAGAGGATGAGAGGAAGATCAGTAAATCTCCATATCTAACAAAGTGTTCACTTTGATCAAATGTCATTGTAGTACTAAGGTGGAAATAACAAAAGTTAAAAAAAATATGACAGTAAGATTTTTTTCTAGAAATATCCCAGAAAGAACAACAAACAGAACATCATATGGTGACGGTGTACAGCTTCAGATACAAGTTTGAGTGTTTTTCTTGATTCTTTAGGTCCAGTGGTAAACAGGCTTAGAGGTGATAGACTCAGTAATTCATTTATCATAAGACGTGTACAACAATCATTTTAAAAGCTTTTAAAATAGAGGGCTGCATGGTGGCACAGTTTCATGAAACAAAAAGGTTCTGGGTTTGATTCCGAGCCCGGGGACCGTCTGCATGAATTTTCCATGTTCTCCCTGTGCATACCCTCTGGGTACCCCAGCTACCTCCCATAGTCCAAAAACATGACTATTAGGTTTATTGGCTTCTCCAAATTGTACTTAGGTGTGTTCATGGTTGTGTTTATTAGTTCATCTCTTCATATCTCTATGTTGAGTTGCGGCAGACTGGTGACCTGTCCATGGTGTACCCTGCCTCTTGCCCATAGACTACCAGAGATAGGCACTGGCCCCAGCGTGCCCCAGTGGATAGATTGATGGTCTTAATGTATTTCTTAAAAACACGATTC